CCCTCAGCTGCTCCTCCCCACACTTGGGCTCTAGACCCTTCCCCAGCAGCTCCGTTGCCCTTCTCTGGCCACACTCCAGCCCCTCAAGATCTTTCTTCTACTGGGGCACCCAAACCTGACCCAGCACTCGAGCTGTGGCCTCCCCAGTCCCAGCCCAGGGCAAGTGCTGAAAGATCTGCTCGTGTTTTCTATCATGCTGGACGTGTCCTTGGCTGGTGCTTTCCATCTGTTCCTCTCCCAGCTCACAGAGGACAGACCTAACCCCTGGTTTTTACCCCTTGTTGTCCTGCAGTACGCCCTGGACAACAGGCAGCAGCTCTCAGGCACTCAGCTGTGTGGCATCATCCTGTCCTTTGCTCGCCTCAACTTCCAGCCCAGTGCAAGCGAGGACTTCTTCAGCATGGTAACCTTCCTCCTCAACCCCTCTTCATCAGCCTCCTCCCTCCTCAGCTTCTCAAAAAGCTCCCTCTGACACATCCCTCTCCAAAAGTGGGTGGTGGGTGGCTCGGGCCAGCTTTAAACTGGGTGAGAAGTGGGAAAGAGGAAGCACAGAGCTCAGGCTGGGCTGGAAAACCCACCCTGCAGTCACTGGTCCCTGTGGACCCCCTGCCACGTGCAGCTGAGGAGGAAGAGGAGCCAGATATGGGTGGGTTTCATCTGCAGGACCTCATCCCACCCCAGGGCTGTCCCCTGGGGTCAAGCCAGCCTGGAGGGTCTCCCTGGCACAGAGAGCAGGGTGAGGGGTGGGAGCAGCATCCAGGACACTCCACCCTGAGCAGGGATCACAAAGCTCCTCGTTTCTGAGGAGTGGCAGAAAAGTTCTCCAGGTTTAAGAGGAGAAAACCCTGTGGGGTGTGGAGCTGCCAGGCCCTTGCTGGGACCCCTGGGCAGACAGCCTGACACCACTGATGGGGTCCCAGCCCCCCCAGCTCCACTGGCAGCAGGATTGAGCCCCTGCAGCAAGCAGGTTTCCCTCTCTGCAGGTCCACGAGCAGCTGGAGGGGCAGCTGGAGAGCCTGGAGCCTCACCTCCTGACAGACCTGGTGTGGTCCCTCTGTGTGCTGCAGCAGGCCAGGGCTCCCTACCTGCAGCGAGTGCTGGCCCCCGACTTCCACGCCCAGATCAGAGGTGAGGGGGGTGTCAGGGGCTGAGAACCTCCAGCCTGGGGCAGGGAGGGGGGCTGCTGAGCCTGGAGCCTCCCAGTTTAGGTTAACAGGTCATTAGGCAGGAGGGGGTCAATATGGATCCCCCCCAGCTCAGTGCAGGGTGAGTGGGAGAGTTGGGCTACTGAGGGTCTCCCTCAGGCTCAGGATTTGTGCCTGTGAGTGCTGAGGGAGGAGAAAGGAGACAAGGGAAGCTGCTCAAGCCACCCTCCTCCACACTCCTCCCCTCTGCTCTCCTCCTCCTGCCTCTCCTCAAGCTCTCCAGAGCTTGTTGCTCTGCTCTGGTGTTCCCCCCAGGCCTGGAGCAGACCCGGGAGGGTTTGGGGCGGTCTCGGGTTTGGGGGGGTTCTCCTAACAGAGTGGTGACTGCTGGGGAGCTGCAGCCCTGTCAAATTCAGTCCCTGCCTCCCCTGTGGTGGGGACTGGCCAAACGGCTGCTACAGCAACTTCTGTGGTCCACGAGCCCCACGTCCCCTTCCCATGGGACCCTGGGGATGGAATGACAGCAGGGACAGTGGGCTCCAGATGAACGAGGGCCCTTTTTGGCTCAGCCAGCTCATGGTGGCTCTATATGGAGAGGGACCTGGGAGTCCTGGGGGGCAGTAGGTTGACTGCAAGCCAACAACAGGCCCCAAGGGCCAAGGAGGCCAAAGATCTCCTGGGGGCATTCAAAAGTGTGGCCAGCAGGTCAAAGGAGGTTCTCCTGCCCCTCTGCTCTGCCCCAGTGAGGCCACCTCAGGAGTGCTGGGCCCCGTGCTGGGCTACCCAGTTCCAGACAGAGC